GTTCTCTACAAAAAATTAGAATAACGAAAAAAGTATAATTCAATATAACACTATAATTCATTTGCAACTAATACTGTTGAGTTGTTATAAAATGTTTGTATTAGAATAAAGTTATTTAAAGATAATGTGTTTTCTTTGGCATTTTATTGAATCACACTTATTGTAATAAATGTTAATTGTACAATATTTAGGCGACTCTTGCAATGAGAATTGAACAAATTTTAAAGCAAAAAATTTTTAATTGATAATTTAATTATTTTTTTTAATCTTTTCGCTTTTCAATCATGCGAAATAGGTGAATGTCGACCGATAAACCGATTTCCTAAATTGACGATTTTTTTTTAACATATCCCATTCAATTGGAATGAAATCATAACCCATTAAACATTCATCGAATTCGATATATAAAGTTATGCAATATTGTTTCATCGGAAAACATTTCCACAATATGTCATGCATATGTACATGTGCTCTTGAATATGCTGTACGATTTTTTTTATACAAGGGTTCGAAACAGCAAAGGTCACATAAACCCCCGAGTATGGGGTGTTTTTGAAAAAGGCCCATTTGTAAATATAAACGCTAGATTCGAAACCTGGACCTTTTCCTTGCAGTGATGAGTCTTAGCTTTAACCGTTGCTGCTACCGAGCTCCCCCCCCCCCAGATCTAATTGTAAATAAATAATATGTACCTACGTATTTTTTAAGGATGGTTAAATGGTTACAAAAAGATGGGATAATTAATATTCTTTCACCTTGTGTTGGTTTACGGATCGTAATGCTAGCCTCAGCAGTTTGATTTTGACACCAGAAACACAATTTATATAAATATTACATTAATCGTGATATAATGTAAACCGTAAGGTCATATCGAATTATGCATCGAAACGGAGCAAGTGGGTCGGCGATTCATCATAGTCCATTTGTAAAACGGTGCTCGCATGCCTCTCATCCGGAGCACCACGCTCATCCTTCATCTCCTCTGTCTAACAGACAATTAAAATCTGTCTCCCAAAGATTCCACAGTTCGGTGGGAAGTGCCAGTTGGCGTGTTTGCACTAATCCGGGTGTTGGTTGACCTCATAAAAAGGGCACTGTTCCGTACATATTATCGTTCGTCTTGCCGCCATCATCCTCGATTTCTGAGCACTATAACAACTGATGATATTCACGGAAACGATCTCCCTGTATCAACATCGCCTTAGATTCACCCCACGTGTAATTTACATCAAATCAAATAGGCACGCATATTAATATTATTTATGTCCCGTCTTAATTTAATTGTAATGTTAAAACTGTTACAACGACGTGAATGACAAACAGCCAATCAGTAAATATTTCAAAACATTAAAATTACAAGACGGTTAAAATATAGAATGAATTTTGAAGGGGACAAAAAACAACTACAAACGATTATTCGGAGATCGTGAGATGCGGTATGGAGTGACGTAGTTTTAGAAAAACATTTTCTTTATAGTGCCGACGTTTCGATCTTTATTGAGATCATATTCAGAGCCTGGGATTTATAAATATTGTTTAAATTTTACAAATACATGTAGGATGCGAAAAAATGAATTTACGCAATGCTAGAAATTTTAGATTAAAAAATAAATAAATAAAATGAATTTATACAATGCCAGAAAATTGTAGATTAAAAAAAATTATTTTACATATTTAGCATAGTATACATTTTTTTAAACTAAAATTTTCTAGTATTGTGTAAATTCTTTTTTTTAATCTAAAATTTTCTAGCATTGTATAAATTAAATTTTTATTTTAAAATTGTATTATTTTAATTTATTAAAATTTTACAAATACATGTAGGATGTGAAAACAGGAATTTATACAATGCTAGGAATTTTAGATTAAAATAAATAAATAAAATGAATTTATACAATGCCAGAAAATTTTAGATTAAAAAAAAATTTATACAATGCTAGAAAATTTTAGATTAAAAAAATGAATTTATACAATGCTAGAAATTTTATATTAAACATAAATAAATAAATAAATAAAGTGAATTTATACAATGCTAGAAAATTTGTATAAATTCATTTTTTTTTAATCTAAAATTTTCTAGCAATGTATAAATTCGTTTTTTTATTTAAAATTTTCTAGCATTGTATAATTTTTTTTAATCTAAAATTTTCTGGCATTGTATAAATTCATTTTATTTATATATAATCTACAATTTCTAGCATTGTATAAATTCATTTTTTCACATCCTACATGTATTTGTAGAATTTAAACAATGTTTATAAACGCCCAGGCCCTGAAGACGATCTCAATAAAGATTGAAACGTTGGTACGATAAAGAAAACGTTTTTCTAAAACCTTCGTCGCACCAGACCGCATCTCACGACTTCCAAATAATCATTAATTAACTGTCACTAAACACCACACACAACTACAAACATTTTATATAAGACCACAGAAGAGACTCATTTCAAAATATGTTAATTTAAGTGACAATCTATTGGTATACGGCCAATCTTTCACGCCGAAGTACCCATAATTGAGAGATGCACTAAATTCAATCCTTTTTTTCTCTTTTATTGACTCCAAAATATTTATACAGCCATCGGTTTTACATCTTATTATGTAATTATTATTATTTCTTAAAAATTAAATATTATAATATTAATATACACTTTTTACATCATTATTTACACAATTACATTAATATTCTTAATAAAACTATTCAATTCACGGTACACAGCTAATTCGGTTGACGATATTAGAGCTTTGTATCCATAAGGAGGTTGAAGAATTATGTCTTGGCATTTGAGAGTCTGTCGAACAAATTTCTGCGTTCATTTGCATGTTTCTTGCAGTGCATGATCAAGTGTTCGAGATCTTCAAATGTTACGCAGTCCTCACAGTTCAGTGACGGGATTATATTAAATCGGTTGAGATATCCCTTGCACAGTACGTGTTTGGATCTTAACCTTACTATTGTTTTGCAGAATGCCTTGGTCAAATCAACTTCTTTGGTGAACCAAGGTTCACGTGTTACCATCGGAAACATATTTTTATATCTGATCCCTTTGTTATTTGACAGGTATTCAATTTGCCAATCCATATGCACCTGTAATCTTAACATAGCATAAAGGTCTTTTCTGGGTACTGTAGCTTTTAGAAAATTGCCCGTTGTGGTGGCATTTTTGGCAAGACGATCTACATCATTATGTTTGAACCCTGTATAACCTTTGATCCAGGTGATTACTATTTTATGCCCTTTAGACCTGATCATTGCTGCAAGTTCAAGGATTTCTATAATGATGTAGTCCGCGATACACAACTTTTTGTCATTGCGTAAATGAATCTGAACAGATATTACAAAATAATTATTACGAATTGTTAGATTTGAGATGCTCTCTAATTGTTAGAAATTCACGTTATCAGAATCGTTTTTAAAATATAAAAGACGAAGTGATATAATGTAAGCGTGGAACTGAAACACAATGGATGTGTCTATGAATAACAGTAAAAATGAAAGCGTTTGACGCAGAATATCATTCTTTGCATTCCTTGCTACCTATTTACTTTTATTTCCAATCACAAATTTTCGATAGACGATTGACATAACAATAGGGAGATTTTCCATAAAGTTAGCGTGAACGGTAACGCTAAATTGATTGAAATTCGCATGCGCAGTCTAAGGGAACGCTATCTGGAATAGCGTCCTACGTTATTTGTCTTGGAATAACCTTCTTGTTAACCGGTGATGATAACGTGAACAAAGTAGTTTGTTGTTAGAGATATTGCCCAATTTAAAAAAAAATATATATAGATGTAGAAATATAATAAATTGTTTATTTTGTTGTATAAATTTGTTAACTGTTGGTAAAATAACATTGTTAATTTTATAGTTAACTCCATTATATTTCGTGGTCTAATTGACCAAATTACTTCTTTCAATTAATTAATATTTATGTAAGGTAGAAGGTATGTATAGTAACATTTCCCAATTCGTACGAGTTTTCATGAAACCCGGCGAAAGAATGGTTGTATCAAATATTTGGTGTTCCAACACTAAAAACGTTTAGCTGTTTTATTTACATAAAAGAAGGAATGACAGTTAGAAGTGGTTTTGAGTTGTAGAGTTTATGTTAACTAACTGCTCTGTAATATTTTCATTTTTCTTAAAATAGCTAGGCAGAAATATAATAAAATTGTTTATTGTATAAATTGTTAATTGTTGGTAAAATGAAATTGTTAATTTTATATTTAACATTTTAAAAGTCGTACGAGTTTTCTTGAAACCCGGTGTTCCAACATTAAAAATATTTAGCTGTTTTATTTACGTAAAAGAAGGAATGACAACTAGAAGTAGTTTTGAGTTTTAGAGTTTGTGTTAACTAACTGCTCAGTAATATTTTCATTTTTCCTAAAATTGCTTGGCTTTTTTTTTAATAGAGTTTTTAACACTTTTCGTTCTCAATTTCATTTGAGGGGAACTTACAGCGAATCGCCTGCACAAATAGAAAATGCAGTATGAATCCATTTCGGAATGTGTGCTGCTGTATACCTCGGAGCACCTAAATACACCAACGAACTGGCCCCGAATCGCCCGGTAATGATTATTTTGTACGTCAGAGATTCTGCAACTATCAGCTAAACTATTGTCAGCAACAAAAAAAATCCATAAATTCCGTGAACGGTGCCATCTTTTAACTTTCTTAGCTCAAGATATGATAACCTGAACTACAACAAATCAGAGAAAACAGCGTTAACGGCAAAATCCGCCATGCAAAAAGTGTCAACGTTATTTTAAAGTCACGCTAGCTCAAGTGGTAGAGCAGCAGCGTATTTAGCCGAAGGTCGTGGGTTCGAATCCCGCTCGTGACACTGACTTTTTTATCTCAGCCAAAACCATACATAAAAAAGAATAATTAATTGAAAGAAGTAACTTGGTCAATTGACCACTAAAACATAAATGGATTGTTATTTTAAAGACTTTAAATATAACGGTGACCTTAAAATAGCGGAAACGTTATGCAAAATCGTACTTGGTGCCCTTGTTCTCAGTTGTGATCTATCGATTTATTTCACCTATGTTATAACGGGGCTTTTTAAAAATTCGCTTAAACCGATGATAAATGTCTCTAGAAGAGATTTAATAAAAACGAGAAAAGACGTTGCGTTTCAGCGAAAGACAGTAAAACCCGATCGTCGAAGTGCGACGCAGTCAGAACGAACAAAGGCTCCACCTCATTGTGCCATCGCCCTATTAAGTATCACTTACTGCTGGGGAAACAATAAGCTGGCAATCACCCCGAATGGTAATTGATTTCCTGCTAGTTTTCTTTTTCTCACGGACGGTCGGCAATAAGAAACGATGAATGAACGGTCTGTAAGTGGGAGTTTAATGGAACCCGCTGAATCAGGCGTCAACGACAAATGCAACTTGATACGCAGTCGGCGAGTATCAACTATCGAAACTGCAAGAGGAAAACAGATAACTTCAACGCGCATCAGCGTAATTCATGGTGCCGCTGTTACACTCCACCTAACCGATGTAAGCCACAAGGTTTTTATACTGTAATTCGGTCCTTATAATTATATAAATTTATGTAATAACATTCATCTGGATGATTATAGGTACGATTACATTATTTGAAAATGTCAAAAACAATAAAATTGGCATGTACGGATTGTTTTCTCTCGGAGGATTAATACCCACTTGGATAGGTGTAGGTAGCTTAAAGAATAACGTCTGACCGGCTTTCCAGATCCGTAATGCCTAAGAGGAGTGTAAAGGGGTTGCAAGGAGTTACAAATGAGCCACAAAGTAAATCCCGAAGGGGCTGGTCTATAAAGACAAAGTGAGTGTGACAAAGTAGTCGTGCCGGCTCGTGGGTAGAGGGTCGACTCGAGGATTACCCCTGGCTCATGTTTTCAACCAAGTTAGTAGCAAAAGGAGCCGTCCTCATATAATATAAGGAAAAGGCAAAGAACAACCGCCCCTTCCGACAATAGGATTCCGGAGGTAGAAAATGGGGAATTGATTGTTTGATTGAACGGAAAAGTTCACCCTCTTTCCATTTGTTTCTTTAATTTACTCCGCTCTGCTGTCTATTTTAAAAGTGTTTATTTTTTTGATCTCAGACTGAAAAAATGAATTTATACAATGCTAAAAAATTTTAGATTAAAAAATTCATTTAGACAATGCTAGAAAATTTTACATTAACAAAATGAATATATACATTGCTAAAAAATTTTAATCTAAAATTTTCTAGCAATGTATAAATTCATTTATTTTTTAAATCTAAAATTTCTAGCATTGTATAAATTCATTTTTTCAGTCTGTGATCAAAAAAATTTTAACCATTTATTTATTTATTTAACAATTTTTGTATCTAAAAAAAACCAACATAAAACATCAATATTATCAACACGACACACAAGAATGACACATCAACACAGAAAACAAACACTTTGAATCTAAAATTTCTAGCATTGTATAAATATTTTTTTTCACATCCTACATGTATTTGCACAATTTAAACAATGTTTATAAATCCCAGGCCCTGAAGATGATCTCAATAAAAAAGTTTGCAACGTTGGCACGATAAAGAAAATGTTTTTCTAAAACCTACGTCACACCAGACCGCATCTCACTATCTCCAAATAATCATTAACTAACGTCACTAAACACCACACACTTATTTCATTATCTTGTTTTTCAATAGCTACACGAGTTTCGCAAGTTACTAAAAAGAAGTATAAAGGCCAGAATGAGAAACAATTAAGATGGTCACATTTTGTCAGATTATCACTGTATTAAATATCTCTACGAAACATTCTTGCAAGTGAGCAGTTTGAGATACTCCGGTTGGTGTTATCAGAAGTAAATCCATCACCTTTATCTCATAACAACATTAGACAATGGCTAAAAAGATGGTGTTTTCGACCTAAAGATCTTTGGCGGTTAGTGGAACCTTATATAGACAAACAAAGCCCTTGTGTACTGATTGCTGGTGATACATTGATTGCCAAAACACGCAGCAAAAAAATAGCAATGGTTCATTATCAGTATTCAGTGATGTCATTGCGGGTATAGGCTGTTAATTGGCTTTGGCATAACTTGAACTCTATTGAATCAACTCCCATAGATTATCGTATTTACGATAAAGATTCCGATGGAATAACAAAAAGTACGCACTTTTTCGAAATGTTATCTCTTTCTAAAAAAAAGAGGGCTAATGCCTGAAGCGGTAGTGATTGATGCCTGATATTCTAGCCTGCACGAGTTTCGCACTGACATATAAAAATTTAAAAAGCAGCTAAAAATAATGATTCATTGACCAGTTACCAAGTTACATGAATATCCTTTTATTAGGATAATTTATATTAAAATGTGTGATTTTTTCTAATTGATATATTATGTATGAAAGGTATTGGTTGAGATAAAAATGTCAGTGTCAAGAGCGGGATTGGAACCCACGACCTTCGGCTAAATACGCCGCTACTCTACCAATTGAGCAATCATGACTACGATCCGCTCGGACACCAACTTCCAATCTCAAACCCACCTTTGGAATTTTCTCCTATAGGGGAGGGAACATTTGAGAGGTGAGGTTGAGATGGGAAGTTAGTGTCCGAGTGGATTGAAGTCACGATAGCTCAAGTGGTAGCTGTTCGAATCCCGCTCGTGACACTTATTTTTCATTTCAACAATACTTTACATAGAGATTAATTAATTGAAAGTAGAAAGATATGTTTATGCGGTATGCGTCTATGATGTACAATAAAGCTTAGGGATAAGTTTGTACGATAATCAAATGCTTTTTATAATTACTTACTCACCTAGAATTTCGAAAAACCATAATCAAATTTTGTAAGTTAATTTTAGTGGATATTAGGCCGATTTGGATTGTTGGTTTTATTGCATTCGTGTAGTTGAGACTAGTTAAAAGAAAATTGTACGTCGAGAGGAAAATATCGATATATTGAAGATCGATATCGATATACTGATCGGTTTTGTGAGAATAGGAATGGTCAGGTTAAAGATAAACAATAGGAAAATAAGTCTCATCTGGAGCGCTACATTCAGTTAAAAAATATCATCTATATCACAGTCATCAGAATTTGAACTGACGTATCAACGTACAGCAAACGTCGCATCGGCTTTGTAATGTGATCAGGATTTAATATCAGGATTAATCAGGATACGTATAATAAATAATAATGTTGTGGGTAAACTCGTGGAAGGCGGAGAGCGGCGTGGTCGGTCGTCGGTCCATCCCACATAGATGCTATTAGCAGCCGGGATGGAAATCGATTAGTCGTCCTGCTGCAATCTGCTAATGGCCTTTGTTGACGCCCGCTTTCAACACGTCATGAGCCCGGATTGCGCAGCCAGCTCCAATTACGAAAAGCCAAAACTATATCTTCATCTCAAAACAAAACTGGCCACTAATTTATATAAAAACTTACTGATAATTAAACGGCATTGATATGAATACATACTCTTTCTAAAGTGTGAAAAAGAAAATGAATCGATTTCCGTATAATTTGATGGAATTTTACCCAGCCGTGCGTTCTGGCTCAATTACAAAACATTTATAATAGGAATGTAAAAAAGAAATGTATGATGATTAGTGACCGTTAATCGATAATTATTCAGAAATCGTGAGATGCGATCTGGTATGATGTAGGTTTCAGGAAAACATTTTTTTTATCGTGCCAACGTTTCGATCTTTATTGAGATCATCTTCAGGGCCTGGGATTTACAAACATTGTTTACATTTAACAAATACATGTAGGATGTTGAAAAAAAGTGAATTTATACAATGCAAAATATATTTTTTTATATTCAATCAAAGTATTTCTACTCACTCAAAGTGTTTGTCTTCTGTGTAATTGTGCCATTCTTGCGTATCGTGTTGAGTGCCAGTGAGATATTGCTGTTTTATGTTTATATATGTTGGATTTGGTGGGGAAGGAAGTCGGTATAGAAAAATCATTTTTGTATAAGGCGTCGGCTTCTTGAGGTGAAAAGTGCCGACGAAGGGAAAAAAATGTGTTGGTAATGGTTCGGCAGATTATCCTTTCAGGATTATATAGAAAGGGATAAATAGGAATAGGAAAGCTAAATTGTTGAAAAATTAGACTATGTGAAAAATATTTGATGTGTGGAATGTAATGTGATGATATATGTACGTTATCTATACTGAATTTGATTAATGATATTGGCGTAGCTGCGATTGAGTTTACATGTATCTGTAATGTAATTGATGCTGTGTTTATCTCTGTTGATGTAAACCATTTCTAAAAAGTTACGTTTATGTTTGTTTTGTTCTGTGTGTAATATTTTTGGATTGTTGAAATCGCAATTGTGTTTGTGTTCAAAATGGTGGGTAGCGAGAGCTGTAGGATTTTGGGTTTTTTGCAATCATAGATATGTTGTTTTACTCTCTTGTCCAGATATTGGGATGTAAGGCCGAAGAAAGTTGCCGAACAGTTTAAACAGTTGATTTTGTAGATTACGTCAGATTCATTTGTTATTTGTGTGGAATCTTATTAGTAATAGTGGATGGTGAAAGGATTATCTGGCCGAACCCATTACCAACGTTTTTTCCCTTCGTCGGCTTTTTTCACCTCAAAGAAGCCGACGCCTTATACAAAAATGTCTTTTCTGTACCGACTTCCTTCCCCACCCCTTCAAAATCCAACATATATAAACATAAAACAGCAATGTGTAGAGATTAGTGACCGTTAATCGATAGTTATTCAGATCCCCCGACCGCATCTCACGATATCTGAATAACTATAAAACAGCAATATCTCACTGGCACTCTCAACACGATACGCAAGAATGGCACAATTACACAGGAGACAAACACTTTGAGAGAGTAGAAATACTTTGACTGAATATAAAAAAATATATTTTGCATTGTATAAATTCTCTTTTTTCCACATCCTACATGTACTTGTTAAATGTAAACAATGTTTCTAAATCCCAGGCCCTGAAGATGATCTCAATAAAGATCGAGACGTTGGCACAATAAAGAAAATTTTTTCTGAAACCTACATCACACCAGACCGCATCTCACGATTTCTGAATAAGTAAAAAAGAAAATTAAAGCTCAAAGCCAAATCCGAAAATGATATGAAATAATTTACAATTTACCTACACTTTCATTGAATAATACAATTCTGAGATTGATTAGCAGTTATCTATTTGTTCACAATAAACATTATTATTTTATTACGGTACTTTTGGAGGGTGAATACAGGGGCTATCCACAATTACCCCGAGAAAAAAAATTAAATTTCTTTAAAAACCTTATACATATTTTCATTTGCTCCTGGTAGATTAATCAAGTTCGTTCTAGGTTAAAACCTTTAGATAATGCAAATGTGACACGTTAAATGGTAAAAAAAATTCAGCCCTATTTTTAGGTCAAAAATTAATTTTTATTTATCTTTTCTAATCCGATTAGTAATTGAGCACCTTGAATACTTTTTTATGGCTATTTAAAAATTCAGAAAATGAAAATGTTACGCCCATAA